AATAAAACTTGTTGTTTGTCGAATTTACATTCGGTAGAGTGTAGTATGTTTCAAAGTCAGTTAGACCGAGCTCGTAACCGCCATCGCTCAAATCTACAGCCGAAAAATAGCTCACGGCTAGAACACTACTCTTGCCCGTCAGCGTAAACGTCAGCGACATGTTTGAACGAATACTGAGTTAAACCGCGCAATGTCAGTCTTTAAATTGTTTATCACTCGTCCGTAGAAACTGTAGACACAACTGTCCGCAATTGCTCTGATTGTAACGTTGATAAGGTATGTGATTGTACCGGATTACACAGTTTGTTAGATATCGCTCGAGTTCCTTCGGCGGCCGGAGGTTACCAAAACTGTCGAAATATATGACACGATTCCCCCTTTTCGCGTACGCTACCCAATGCGTACCGGATCCCTCAGCGTTGTCTAGATTCACGATACCGCTCTCGTTTCGACGTACTCCTTCCACCGGTAATGTCGTACTCATAAAGATACCTGTGAAATACGGAATGCGCATACGTTTTGCAAGTTGTAGCAGTTGCACGTTGGTAGTTACACCCGTTGGTATTTTTAACGTCTCATCGACGTTTTTTTTTTTCTCTTTACTACTCCTCGTCCACGCTTGTAGGGAGCGAGATAAACACCGTGACCTTCCATGACGCGATTATGACGTTGCATTTCTTCCAGCTGACGCTCCGCTGCTCTGCTATCATTTACAGCCTTGGCGACTCCCGCCGCTCCACCGACCAACGACCCGAGGACGCCCAGCAGCGGAAGAACAGGCAGGATACCGCCGCGTTTCGCTATCGGAAGTATCCTCTTACTCTTTCGCTTCTTTGTTTTCAAGCCCATACCCATCTTCGTTTTAGCCTTCATAGCCGCCCAAACAGCTGTGGCGGCGGCTCTCTCTGTGAGAGACGAATCTCTCGCGGTAATGCGTTTCCGCGCCTTTTCAGCGAGTATATTATCAGCCACGTGCCGTTCAGTGAGACCGTTGTTGTGCGAATACGCTATATCGTGTTCGCGACACGCCGTGTCCAATGGATTAATCCCTCTGTCGCCTCTAGCTAATCGTTTCTCCAAACGCGTCCCCGGTCCACAAAACTGGTAACCGGGAATGTGCAGTTCGAAAGGAAGCGCGTTTATCGCTTTATTTAACAAACCTCTGCCTCTCGACGGCATTCGCTACAATTCTTTATCAACGGCGCTGGACCGTCGATATGCGTTTGATGACTCGGCAAATTGTAATGCTTCAGACACCGACGGTGTCGTTGTACCTCCGAATCGGCTCGTATATGCTCAGGTAGTCTATCCCACAGCAGATCTATACAATTCTCAAACTCTCGCAGTAAAACAATTTTCGGTATATATTCCAATTCTTTGGAGGTTAAATCATTCGACACGATGAGAAACATTTTGATTACTGAGCGATTACGCTCTACGTAGCTCTATAAATAGGCCCGCTCGCGACATATTTTCCAGTTTCTTGTGTAACGCGAAAATATGCGGTTCGTGCACCAGTCGCAGTCTATCAAAGTGACGAATCTCGACGGTAAAGTGCAAACCAATAAAGAGATGCGCAAGCATGGCAAGATGCTGCCGAGTTCTATTCGCGCAATCATTTGCGGCCCGTCGAATTGCGGCAAGACGAATGTACTGATAAGTTTGTTGGAGAGCCCGAACGGTGTACGCTTCGAAAACGTATACGTTTATTCAAAATCTCTGCAACAACCAAAGTATCGATATCTCGAAAATTTATTAGCACCGATCGAAGAAATAAACTATTTTACATTCTCCAATAACAGCGAGATCATTCCACCGAGCGAGGCGCTTCCGAATTCAATCTTTATCTTTGATGACGTGGCATGCGACAAGCAAGACGCGATAA